CAGTCTTACTTACCCTTGGGGGGATAGAGTCACAGGAAGCCCTCTCTCTAGCTTGTGGGGTATAGGTCACATGACGCCCTCTCTCTAGCTTGGTGGTTTTAGCTTAAAAGGGACAGTCTCTCTCTAAGTGGGTCAACCATTTTATCCTATGTCTTTGTGTGTAAATTTTTAGAATTGTTGCTGTGCCGACTTTTTCTCTTTTGATCTAATTCCTGATCCTTACCACTTCTGCCATCTCATTTCTGTGGTTACTAATGATGTTTTCTAATTTTGTTTGTGAGTGACTGTGTTATATCAGAGTAGGATATCAATTTAAGTTATCGGGTGACATAAAGGCGACACATGATATCATTGTGGGCCATGTTTTTTCTACGGAGACCAGTCTTGGACAGTAAATTGTGTGCTTTTTCATAATATGCTAGTTTTTTTTTTTTTTTTTCAACTGCATGATTTTGTTTATTTGAAGTGCTGCTTGTTTGTGTATTCTTGCTGAATTGTTCAGTAATTTAGATATACCAAAATGAGATGCAAACTAGACAGCTGTAAATATACGTTGCTGTGATTAACTAAACAAAGTTATGGTTTGTTAAAATATTTAATTAAGGAAAAATATTAATTTTTAAACACACAATACAGTTATAAACAAATGATATAACCGTGAGCAAACAGTTGTAAGGAAAGTATACGTACTCGCTGCAGTGCTTTGATGGCCCGTATCAAATCATCCTGGCTCCGCAAGTTCTGGGTCTCGCGAGATGGACCCCTGAGGTATCCGAACTGGGCCAGGTATTTCTGGGGACAACACAAATTAACAGAATGTTTACCTCTGCAGGCAACATGATTCTTGCATTATCCCGGACGTTTAGGCAAAAAGCAATCATGGGAAGAATTGTCAAACTCGTTAGGCGCAATTATAATTCATACTTTTCTTCTTTTTCTTCTTCTTTTTTTAAATCTACTTCTTCTTCTTCTTCTTCTTTTTCTTCTTCTTCTTCTTCTTCTTCTTCTTCTTCTTCTTCTTCTTCTTCTTCTTCTTCTTCTTCTTCTTCTTCTTCTTCTTCTTCTTCTTCTTCTTCTTCTTCTTCTTTTTCTTCTTCTTCTTTCCCTCCTCCTTCTTCTTTCATCCATTAAATTGCGGTTAGCACGTTATCTTGTACAAAGTAAAAGTGAAAGTTATCTTGTGGTTTACAGCCAGGCTGTGATATCTACACCCTTCGGCCAAACTCATCCGATTTCAGCAAACTTCTGATTAGTAGACTTTTACGACATGCTTGTTTAGAAGACAGGGGTTCTATTGCCGCCTCTCCCGCCCCCCGCCCACTCCATCCCATCCTAGTAGGGCTATGGAACTGTGAAACGCAACCAGGGGTTCTAACCACTTGAAACAAACCAAAATGATTGAAACTTTCTAAGACAGACTGGAGACGAGAGGCACGATGATAGAGTTGTTGGCAGAGGTAACATCAGTGACATACTTACATGGTTACATTAAAAAAACACAAATTAAAAAAAAAAAAAAAACATAAGGAGAAGTTTGAGGCCGACGACAAAAAGGTAGGCAGCAGTACAATCGGACCGGCTCATTGACTGGCTTGGTATTTACTTCTAAGTCAGTGATTCCCACACTGTGTGCCGTGGCGCTCCGGGGAGCCACGACCTCATCACAGGGGAGCCGCGACCTCATCACAGGGGAGCCGCAAAATATTCGAAGAAACACGAGTTTTATTTTTTTTCTGATCTCTTACAAACGAATAGTCATACTTTTATTTAGGTTAGGGCGTCGTGGATAAACTTTAATTGAAAAAAAAGACGCCGGACTAGGAACAGTTTGGAAAACACTGTTCTAAGACAAGGAACTGTTTGGGAAACACTGTTCTAAGACTAGGAACAGTTTGAGAAACACTGTTCTAAGACAAGGAATAGTTTGGGAAACACTGTTCTAAGACAAGGAACAGTTAGGGAAACACTGTTCTAAGACAAGGAACAGTTTGAGAAACACTGTTCTAAGACAAGGAACAGTTTGAGAAACACTGTTCTAAGACTAGGAACAGTTTGGGAAACAATGTTCTAAGACTAGGAACAGTTTGGGAAACACTGTTCTAAGACAAGGAACAGTTAGGGAAACACTGTTCTAAGACTAGGAACAGTTTGAGAAACACTGTTCTAAGACAAGGAACAGTTTGAGAAACACTGTTCTAAGACTAGGAACAGTTAGGGAAACACTGTTCTAAGACTAGGAATAGTTTGGGTGACGTCTCTAACCTGTTACTATTACAAAGAAATCAACAGAGAATCTGTGAACTGCCTTGAGACCTCTATTTTGTGTTGACAGTGTTGATGAAGCAGTGGAACATCTACTAACTAGCCGTTCTCACATTCTCTCATTTATACCAAATATTCAAATGTGAGTGCCGCTGTCAAATAGTGACCAACAATTCCTGTCCCAACTACAGCTCACTAAATATAGACGATTTCTTTTGAAGCATTTGTTTATTTCAAACTTTTTCAACTATATTATTTTTTTGGTCTTCAGCACATTGCTATTATTATTATTATTAATTAATAATATTTTATTATTGTGCAATTTAAGAAGCGCCCCCCCCCCCCCCTTTTATAAGAACAGAGTGGCCGCTCAAAGGGGTTCAGTCATGTTCAACTGCGCAATAAATAATAATAATAATAATAATAATAATAATAATAATAATAACAGCAACAACAATAATATTATTGCAATGAAACACGGCTGAACCCTCCTCACCCCCCCCCCCCCTCTCAACCATACTATATAAAATTATTGGTAGCCCCCCACCATACTATAGAAAATTATTGATAGCCCCTCCCCATCTGCAAGTCCCTTTGCAGCCTGTTTCCCCATATGTTGTATGAGACAGGAGCCCGTCTTCCTGAAGACACTCACTGTCCCCGCCATCAAACCGGTTGCTAAAGTTGAATCTGCTCAGCTTCAAGGGAGGTAATTAACACTGTGCCAGCACAAGACTTCGGTGCTAACACACGCTGATGCACACTCTTGTCTCATTTGACTGCACTTCTCTCCGAGTACATACGGATGGGGACAACAAACGCAGGATCTGTGAACAATCGGCACTAATGACTCATTTGGAGGATGGGCGACTTCTAAGTTGGGTGAAATGAGTATTCTCCCTCTATCTGGAAGGATGGGGCAAATCTTTTCAAGCTGACATTAAAACGATTCATTTAACGTGAGTACTCTTCATGGCTATGTCTGTATATTGCATTTGAAGTTCATTTGGAAATGATTCCACTGAAGTAAATGCGCACCCAACCCACGGAGATGATACACGTTCAATGGCAGCTTTGATAACTTGGGGGTACAAATGTTCACAGAGACCTGATTAATGACCTCGCCCTGAGTCAGAGCCAAATCATTTCGGGTAGAATTCTGTGCTGTCTTGTCTCGACAGCTGAAATATTTTGGTCATATCAAGCGCCACGACGGATTGGAAAAAAATATAGTACAAGGCATGGTACCAGCAAGGAGGGGCAGGGGCCGACCGACACGAAGATGGCCACAGGATATAAGTGACTCCTTGAGTATGAAAGTTGATGAGGCGGGGGAGCTGGCGAGAGACCGAGTTTCTTTCAGACAGACCGTAGATGATAATGCTAGATGATAATGATGACTACTTTCCGCTGGCTTGAGAACTAATTACACACACATGTCATCATTGTAACTGACTCATAAAGTAGGTTTAGACATGTGGAGTTATGTATGCTCCGGGGAGATATGCTCTGAAATCTGCTTTGATTGGTTACAATCACATATATCAACGGCACCAATATAAACAGCAAAGCTCACGTTTCGAGTAAAATCATTATTAACGAGTTTGATGACACACAACTAGTCTTACAAACCCTGACTTCCACCACAAGTCCCACAACGCACAACCTAACCAGTATCGTCTTCCACAAAGGATATACTATATCATTAGCCAGGTTTAAGGAAACATTACCACCCAGACTGTGTTACATAACACCATATATCGCATGATCTCAGTGGCTGGAGCATTTGATCTGTCATTCACAAACACGACACACTAACTCCTGCAGTTTTCACCAACTTTTTCTTCTGGGCTTCTCTGTAAAAACAAAAGATACTCTCTCTCTCTCTCTCTGTCTCTCTTGTTCTCTCTCTGTGTCTCTCCATCTTCTCTTTCACTGTCTCTCCTTCTCTCTCTCTCTTTCTCTCTCTCCATTTGCGCGTGTGTTACAATTTCCGAGAAACAGTACAAACCCCCGCTCCAACCCCCCCCCCCCCACCCCCAACACACATTTTACCGACCCGCGAGGCTAAACTACCACTTATTTAATAAACAAAATCAACCAAGATCAATACAAACAGAGATGTGGTTAAACAACGAGAGAAGATTGTTGGCAGACTTCTCATCATTGCACGGAAAGGTGTAAAAACACGAACGCGTGCATGCGTCGTCACCGAAAGTCGACACGGAACCGGATAATGTTGATGATGATAGTGCTGATCATATACTGGTTTACTTTTTTTGTTGAAATCTATATCTGTGAAACATTCGTTGTTGTTAAATAATTCAAACATCTGTTCTCTCTTTTGTAATTACCAAGGTCCGTGGTTGTTGACGTGTAACTTGTGATAAAATCAACTCTGACCTCTCTTTAAACGGAAGTGAGGCACAGGAAGTCGAAACACTGTCAACTTGAACGCTTTCATCGACCGGAAGTGCCTCAAGTGCCCGTTAGGGGGCGTCATCGACATGTCTGCTTCGTGTGTCTTCCGGTTTGTTTCGTTGCTGGCTCTAGTTAATCAAGTGGGGCGTCTTGAGACAATTATGTCAGTTGCCAAATGTTTCTAGAGAAACCATTGTAATCTAGATGTTTCCACCGTTATGTTCCTTTCACGAATGTCATTGCGATATTTGCACAGATTAGTTTACATGTAGATATAATCGTTATCGTTTTATACAGTGTTAACGCGACTTCTGAACTGCACGATTCAATAACAGCCATTATCATCATCATCCTGATCATTATCATCATCATTATCTTCTTCTTCTTCTTCTCATCCCCCTCCTCCTCTTCTTTTTCTGCTGTTGCCACAGCAGCTTCATCATGTTCTTCTTCTCCTTTATTTTCTTCTTTTTCTTCAATAACACTGTTGAGTCACAATCTCCACCCAACCCCAACTCCCGCCGCCCCTTTCTAGTTCCAATTGGTATGTTAAAGAAGAACCTCGTGCATGTTAATCAACCCTCGATAGAAAGCAGGGTTAAAAACATATGAATTTTTGCTTATCCAAATAGGCTTCCTTAGATATCTTGGGGCTATTCATAATAAGGCTCTTAAGCCTGTCTCCTTCCATTTTGACAGTTCTGACCCCAAGGTGAAATCAATGTCTCAGTCTCTGCTATTAAATCTTGCTCCGGTGACCAGACCAGCCGCTACTCCTTTAAAAATCTTTTTATTCATAGTTTTGACTTTCTCAGTCCTGGAATGATCAATATTAAACACGTATGTGTTTAATACAATTTATCACCTTAATAATTTATTTACCTTCACACCCCCTCTTTTTACATACGCATTCTTATTTATTTTGTGCCATATTATAGTCCTCTATTTTCATACCCCCCCCCCCCCTCCCACCAACCATTGATCGATATGTTCGGTTGAATTTTTGTGCTTGCTTTCCATTCATTCCGTTGAGCTTTCTAGTCATAGCTTATATTATATTCATTCCGTTGATCTTTCTAGTCATAGTTTATGTTATATTCATTCAGATG